ACGCTCTTCTTGATGCACCCCAGGATCCCATTGGCCTTCTTGGCCACGCGAGCAGTAACACAAACTTGTTCAAAACATGATCCATTCTGTTCCTTTCTCTAAGCAAGACAAGAGGAGAAAGGCATGGGTTGAGGCACATCTAATTTCCATGTAATGTTTTTACTAATATACTCTGAGGCAGGATGATACTCAACATGTGAGAAATGCTGACTCTGTGGTACCACAAAGTTTGGCTCTGTAGAAAGCATCTCCCAGTTCTTAGAGATGAACTACATGATTTTTACTGATGATTTTTACCTTGCAAATTTTTAAGAAGTGCTGTCAGGTACTTTACTTTTAAAGGATTGCCGATATCTGTCTTGCTATTATATAATTGTATAATATAAGAGGTAGTATATAATTAAGGTGGGAGGGATAGTACCAGTCTTCCATCAGCAATGTTTTAAAAAAGAGTCACTGTAAGAACATTTGCATGGACGTCAACTTCTAACAGAGTAACAGGCTTGCGCCGAGTTTGTCTGTTGCGTTTGCACCTCCCAGCCCTGCCTGGCCACCCAGCTCCGGATGTGTAAGCAGAGGAACCTGTGGTGGAACCTGTGATTCCCAGATCATAGGCTGGCTTAGGTGATAGTGCCTGAAGGCCTCTGCCCAAGACGGTTATGTAGAGAAGCAAAACTGAAGGTGCTTGGGAAGCCGGGGCAAGTGCCTGGTTTTAGGAGCACCTAAGCTGCTCAGGGAAGAGTTTCAGGAGCAGCCACCCTGGTTCTTCGTAGTATCTGCTTCACACCTACAGTCCTGTCCTCAGTTGAATGACTGTTAAATGTACAAAATATTGTAAAGTTATTACTGTATCAGACATCTTGGAATGCTTTTTTTGTGAAAGTGTTTAATTTTCATAACTGTACTGCGGAAGTGCTAGGTCTTAATTATTTGGATCTTGTGTGTTAAGTTGCTTACAATGTGTAAAGACATAAATCCTAAGTTCATTGTAAGCTTAGTATAATTACGCATATTTTTTTAAGTAACATTTTGCTTTTTTTCTATCTTCATTCTCCTTTTTGTGTTTATATCAAACTTTTCAATGCAGCAGACAAGTCTTAATTTTTGATAGATAAGTTGATAGATATGGCCGGACTAGATTCAACAACTGGTATTTAACTTTAGCCATGAACTACTGAAGACTAGAAATAGTCTTGCGATATTTTACAGCCTACCAAGAAAGCTTCTTACAGACTGTGTTGAGAGAGCAGTATGTTTAAAATAACTGTTCAAAAAGAGATGACTCGCACTCTGTCTCTTTCCTCTACTGCTTCTCAGAAAGAAGAAAAAAAGTACTTTCTTTTTGCAAGACTGGTTTTATGACTTGTTAATTATGAACTATGTTCATAATAATTATGAACAATGGTTATGCTTTTACATCATGTTTTTTTTTTTTTTTTTTTGTTAATGCCTATGAGAATGCACAAGTCTTTTTGGAGCATACAGAAAAGCTACTGCATGTCAAAGTCAGCCCAGCTGGGTAAAAGTATGCTAAGGCTGGTTAAGGCCAGCTATTTATTTTATTTAACAATGATTGTGATTTATTGTGGAATGAGTAACAGTGACTTAATTTCAGTTTGGAGTTCAAAGAACAAGAAAGTAATAGTAAAAGTTTTTTTTTCTTTATTTTTTCTTTATTTTTTTTCTAACTAATATTTCAAACATGGACATGAAACAGAACTATAATGAAGAGTAATGCTTCCATTTGACAGCACATCACATTGAGGACTGTAGTGATCATTAAAACAGTAGTTCTGAAAGGGCTAGAGTTATGAGATGTTTTGATAGGCCTGTGGATAGTTATTCTCACAGAAGTAGAAGCTAGCCTTGCATTGCCAATAAGACAGGGTATTCTGCCCTTCATTCATCATATTGTTCATAGTTCTATTTGCTTCTCAGTAGCTCATGTTTAGAAAGTTTCAGTTTTCCTTTCTGTTTCTCAAGGAAACATAAATACTTCTCTCTTAAAGAGAAAACACCATTCAGACTTGATTGGCTTTGTTCTCTGGTGGGATGGGAAGAAGTATTAGTTGTTTAGTTACTTAGTTTAATCTTTCCTGTGCTCTAATCCCTCCAAAGAGTTATTTGGTTTCTTAGTGATCGCTTTACAATGATACTCTTCATACCTTTAACATACATTGATCTTTATATTCTGAAGCATGAAAAGAAAATAAAAGTCTCATCTAAATACATTCTGAAAATGGTAATTGTATTGAAATTAAGATGAGCACAACTTAGTATGCAGTTACATGAGACAGTTTTCGGAAGCAAAGTATTTACTACTTATGGTACAAATAGATATATTAATTGCTATCGTCATATGTTACACCTATCAGGCTTTTGGACAACTGTAATAATATATTTTGAAAATGAAATTTCAGTGTGGTTTTAGTGGTTTGATCACCTTTTTTTAACAACCTTATCACAAGGAATATGTTAATTTTCTTCAGCTGACATCTGAAATGTTTGAAGCAGATCTTGAAAAAGCACTGCTGCTAAGCAAACTGGAATATGAAGAGCACAAAAAGGTATTTGTGGGATTCATCCTGGTGCAAAAGCTGTACAAGTGTAAGGCTTGAATTTATAAATAAATCACTTGGCAAAAATGATACTGCTTTTGTGTAACTTTGTTTACTATTCAAATGTTTAAGATTTTAGAGATATATTGACTTTGGAAGAAGATATAATACTGTACTTTTAAAAAATCACATAAAGATAGAAAAATAATTTAAATTTTTCAGTCTTCTGGCATTTAAAGACACTGAAATTGGGAAAGTACAGCAAGGGAGCATGTCTATACTTATTTAGAAGAAATCCATCACACTTGGAGAGGCAAGGAAACCAAACACTCCTCTTTAGGCCTTTCAGTGTTAGTTATGTTGCACTGTTAGTCTTGCACTTTCAGTAATACTTTTTCTGTTGTTACATGTTTTAGTTTTAATAAGTTATCAGCATTTTCTGTGAGTTGATGAGAATGTTATTTTCTGGATATCTAGTGAACACCAGAGAACTAGTTACTAAAAGGTTTGGAAAAAAAGAGTATGCTTGAAATGTAAACATCTAACAATTCTTTACTGCAGTAAGTTGGGAGCCTATGCAATGTTATGAAAACATTTAGGATGCCTAGACAAGCAAAAATTACATGCGTACTTTTGTGCAAATACTTTTATTCAATACTTCAGTTCAAGGGAATGTCATAATTCTTAAAAATCAATGTTAATTTTTTGACTTCTATATTTAAAGTTAATTTTAAAAGTGAAAGCTGTCTTTGGACATAGGAAGAAATATTGATTTTTTTTTGAGAGTAAACTTCACAGAACAATTTAAGGCACATGATGTCTATTTTAATATACAGTATGCCTGAATAGATAAGCAAATTTACAGAAAAAAAAATACAGCATTCTGCTGCTTCTTCCCATCCGTGCTTTCTATATAATAAGCTTTTTCTTAAGATTATTTTTGCTGAGAATCTAGGACATATAACAATTTGCTAAGAATGTAATGTAGACAGGAAGAGTACAATTTGGGTTAAATGGATACCATGTCCCAGCCTGGGTGATTTCAGTAGGAGATAAGTTTGACTGGCGAGCGTTGCTGTGCAGTAATAACTGTTGGAATTCTGGTGAATGAGTAAGCATATTTTAAGAGTAAACTGAAGATGTGATTGAACTACTTTTTTAAAGGAAACGTTAACCTGCACTGTATAGTGCTCTATATTCATGTGCACATTTATATTTTCAGGCTATCAGTATTTGGATAAAACTTTACGTGGGTGATAGGGATGTTGGACTGATATTTCACTGGCTATTTAGTAAACAGTAATACTCTACTTTGGACAGTAAAGCTGGTGCTTGATAGCTGTTGTGCCTTAGGTTCTTTAAAATGATCAGAAGCCTGCAAATTACTGTTTAGGCTAAAAACTCTTCTAGTATATTATCACTGTTTTTGTTTGTTTGTTTTCCTTTATAAAGCTTTAGAAAAGCTTTATAAAATTTTAGGGGTATTGAAGAAAATTATGCCAGTGGGACTTTCTTTTTCCAGGAATATGAAAACATTGAAAATACTTCACCACAGTTAAAGTCTATGAATAAAAAAGAGAAAAGGAAGAACCAGCAAGGAAAAGACAAACCTCTCACTGTGTGTCTGAAAGACTTTCAGTCAGATAGTGCTATAGGTATGCTACTAGTATGGCTGCTTATACGTTGTTTTCCGTGGAATTCTGATAGTATTTACATTAACAGCAAAACACGCTGTAGTGTCTTTTTGTTGTTGTAATTTGTTTGTTACTGTCCTTAAGCAAATATTGAATGAGTTGGAATTAATATATCCTATTAAGTCTAAGAGCCAAATTTAATTTTATAACAACGAACCAGTTATGGTAGCAGGAAAAAGGGAAGAGTTTAAGGAAAATAACAATTTTATGTGTTTTGATGGGATAGAGAGGAGACATTCAAATACTCCTAGTGTGCAGAGAAAATGCAATAAAAAGTAGGGTTTTTTTTTAAAAAAAAATGTTGGCTTCCACTTTAACTGAGCTAAATTATGTTTATGAAATACTGCTTTTGATTATATTAGTCTGAAAGATCTGGGAAGGGATGCAGATTTAGGATTTGACCTAAAACTTAGTATATAATTCTTCTAACGATATAGTACTTTTTGAGATGAAAGTTAATACAGGAAAAATTACTGATGAATGCAGTAGATTTCTGACCACTTTTCAAAGTACCATACTTTAATAATGGTCAGCTGTACAAGATTTGAGTAACTTGCTGTTGATATTTCTTTTATTCCTCTTTTCAGATAACCTTGCTAAAAAACATGAGGTAAGCTTCTTTTTTAAAAAAAAAATAATAAACTAAATCTGTTTAAAAGGTATTTATTTCAGAAACAATATGGTTGCTTTTGTAGCTTCCATCAAAGATATATTGCAAAACTGAGTGAGCTGCATTTGGAAAATTTATATGGACATTTGTAGACTTATTAGAGTAGGTTCTGCTATCTGAGTATATGTACTCAGACAGTACTCAGATATACTACCTGTGGTTCTACTATCTGAGAAGTTATTAAAGGCTTTCTTGGAACTAGCTTTTGTCTTTTCTTGCTTTAAAGGAGTCTTTAACTTTGATGAAACTTGCTGCTTTAAATATATGTTAAAATACCAATTTTAGTACAAAAAAAAGAGAAAAACAATAGATAGGGAATAGTACCATATTGGGGGCATGGTCCTAAAAGTCTCAGAGGATAGAATTATCCTCTGATTAGAGGGCATGGTGCAAGTGTTAAATTCTAATTAAATGCCTCTGTTTAATCAAATTGTCAATTGATGTTAACTGCTAATTGATTTCTAGACTTCTTCAGTTGGGATCAGATGTTGTTTAGATAGAAGTTGGAGTATTATTAGGATGTACAACGTAAAGAAGTGTCTGGGCTTTTCCATAACTACCTATTTTTAACTGTTTTTTAGCTAAATATTGACTCATAAATATTGTTTTTACTGTTTTTTAGCTAAATATTGACTCATAGGTAAAGGAAGTTGTAATAAGTTACAGTGCTTACTTTTTATAGGAACAGAGTTCTGCACAGACTTTGTTACCTGACGAAGGATTTTTCAATAGATTGGAGGATGACGTTCACAAAATACTTAAAAGAGAAAAGAGAAGAGACCAGCCCACAGATTGCAATGGAATGGATAACTGTTCATCTCATGAACGCAACCAGGCATGTACGGTAGCAGTCACTGAAGTGAAGAAGTTTGCCTAATGAACCTACTTTAATGATTAGAAGAAAGCACAAATCGAAAGAACGATAATCGTAAAAATGAGTAAAATCACATTCTAAAAACTTTGTATTCTTTAGTACCTGAAGAGATTAAAATTGTTTCATCATTTTTAACGGAAAACAATTTAAATATTTTTTGCTTTGTGGAACATAGCAGTATTATTACTGCCTCTTACTCATCTCTCTCATATCTGTGCATCTCAGTGTACATATTTATTTTCAATCTTTTTTTTTTTTATAACAAACAGGAATAAGTTTTCTTTCCCAAGAATAGAATTCACATGACCAAGGTGAGAAATAATGTTTGCTTGTTTATAGGAGTGTTTTTTGAAAGATGGAAAAACAGAACGACTAAAGCTCGAACTTGAAAAGAAAGATACAGAAATTCAGCAATTGAAAAATGTAATAACTCAGTGGGAGGTATGTATCTTTAATACCTTCAAGTAGTGAGGGTTAAGTCCACTATGTGAAGTCCTTAGAGAGAGCAGTGTGTCATTTGTCAGATTTAAGGGGAGTCATTGAAAGTTGTAGCATAACAATAATGGTGTCATTATTCTCTTATTTTTAATACATGCAAATAATGTTGGAAATTACATTCAGAATATTCTAAAACACATCAGGAAAAATATTTGCTTAAATATTTGCTTGTTAATAAATATCACAGTGTTGCTCTATGCCAGGCTAGTTAGGAAGAAATGTCTGCAGGTGCCTCCCTGTTTTCACTCCTTGTTAGCATTGTCTAGATAGTATCTGGGGCAACCAGGGTAAAAATTCCATGAGGAACTATCATTTTTTGAGGAACTATCAACTGTCATATATTTCCTTTATAAGAAAAATGTGATAAAGCACCATGTGATTTTTTTGTTACTAGTTTTGTTCTTTGTTTAAGGTAGTCTGACCAGTTTGATTGGAAGTTTTCTTATACTTTAACTAAAGATTTTTTGCTTGTAGTAGCAAAGACATGAACTTTAACAGCTGCATTCATTCTGTGCTGGATTTGGATTCTCCAAATTCAATTCTTCTGAAGTACATATCTGTTTATATTTATCACTCTTTACTTGATTGCACTTGGCAGAATAAATGCAGTGCATAAAGATGTTGGTGAGATGAGGGGTGATTATCAACTGTTCTAGAAAGTCTAGCATGGTTTTACGTGGCTATCAGAGACTGTGCTTAAATGTATTTGCATATTTCTAGTATTACATACCTCATCTATTAAAAATGCCCTTTCATTTCATTTTTGCTCCTCTGTGTATCGGCATTTGTTTGTCGTGGCAGTGATATAGTGTTACACGGTGTTTTGGTATGCTAGAGATGAAAGGTTTCATTATTTGTATGGATTTCTTGTTTTTGTTGTTCAAGGAGGGGAAACGAGTGTTGTGTATGTGCACACTTCCATGATACACAGAAACTGGGCATCCCGCTGAACTCTACTACAGCCTTTTCCTGTTTCCACGGGGTTGGGGATTACTTTGCATGGAATAAAATCAAATTACCCTTTCAGGACTGGGGTGATAGTGTAAGCAGAACACTGCACTGTAGTTTCTTTATTACAAAAACAAGTGAATAAAAACAATTAGACAAAACCTCCCTGTTTGAACTGTTTTCAAGAGCCAACTTTTTTGAAGAGCCAATTTTCAAGAGCACACTCCACATGAGGAGACTTGTGAAAGGAAAAATAAATATCAAGTTAAGACGTGCAGCTCAAATTGGCATTGGTGGCTGATTAATAAAAAGGCAGCCCTACAAAGAAAGCGTGTAATCAACAGATAGGTTGGAAAATTTGACAAGAGTAAGTTTCCAAGTATAGAGTTTAAGAGTTGAAAAAAAAGAATCTGTAATTTCAGTAGTGTGACTTTTTAGTAAAAAGATCTGCAGAGCTTTAGGGGACTTGTTCTAGTTGCCAGGTAATATGACAAACCTTTCATATTAAAACAGTATCCAGAAAGCACTTTATAATTGTTGTGTGCTGTATGAATATATTTCAGGGGAGATGCTATTAAGTCCTGGATGCAAATAGGCTCGTAATACTTAGGCAGACCTGAATTGTGGTTCTTTCACTATCAATGCAATGACATAACATTTATTTCAACTTGCTGTAAGCTTTGTTGTGCTTGCCTTAATTTCTAGACTCTTAGTTCTTTAATTCATTTTTCCTTTACATTCATTTTGTCAGCTGTGATTTATTTAAGACAAAAGATTCTCTCCAGAAATGATAATTTTCAACTCTGAAGTGTTTTAGTCATGTTTGCTTTATAGAGTATTTTTATAGGATGTATATTTAATACTTTGTATTTTTTTTTAACATCAGGCAAAGTATAAGGAAGTAAAAGTAAGAAATGCACAACTCTTGAAGATGCTACAAGAAGGTGAAAGTAAGTAAAGTTTTTACAGGCAGGCTCAAAGGTTCTTTTAAAGAGATGGAAACCACCTTCAAAACAGATTTTTCAAAAATACATATCGTAACAACTAAAAGGAACTAGGAAGTTATTAATTTGCAGTGACTCCTGTGAAATCAAAATGTAGACCACAAATGCTATATTTCTGGTACTACTTAATTAAATCATCTTTTGAATTTTAATAGCAGTCTTTCAAATTTAAGCTGTTCAGTTGTATTTTGGACACAATGAGTCTTTGAATTAGATTTTATTTTGCTAGTGTCTTGATCTGACTGGACTCCCTGTTTAGATCCTCAAAGAGGTAGTTTGATCTTTTTCATATCTTTGCAAGTCACGCTTTGAGCTGTAGGAAACATCTTATACTTAAGTAAAAGTTTTGCCAGGTAATAATAGGGCCAACTAAGCTAACACTCATAAGTTTATATATGTAACTGTGATAATTTTCCTTTTGTAAAACATTTCATTGCTTTTATATTTGGTGTCAAAGATTGAATATATAGATATTGGCGTATCCTGTCATCTTTATATTTATGCATATATTTATGCAATAGATATGCAATCCTGATCCTGCATGATGAAGTGGTGTATATAATACCAGACAAATTAAATATGTTATAGATTTGCTTTTGTTGTTCAATTTCTTAATGTAGCTTCTAAATTCATCTTCTTCTTTGGGCTTAAATTCTGAACTAGAAAGGAGCTGAATGTTTTTGTTAAAATATGTTTACAAGCAAGCTACAGCCAAGCTAGTTCAAATGTTCATAATGTGAGTGAACACCACAAATTTTTAATTGCTAAAGCTTCAGGTCAGTGTCTGAGACAAGATGGAATAGTCTTATCTCAAGAGAAGGGTGATGAAGTTCTTGCTTGGGTTTACAAATACATAGTTTAAACATGTCCTGTTTTAAATATTTAATACTAGTCTGCATAGGTATGGCTGAATTTATATAAAAAGCTTGATTTCTGGCCAAGATACAGCTTTCTGATGAACTTTGTTCATAGCATTTAAAATTCATGCTGCTTACAGGGTTAATTAAGTGTGGGGAAACTAGGACAAGAGGGATTTAAATCAGAGCTTTGTAAGGTGCTGCTAATGGCACTGGTAGCTGATTGCTTGCAATTATCATTTTTTCTTTTAGTGAGGCCAGGCTTATAATAATAAATAACAAAATAGTGATATAGCACAATGTCTCAGTACTGTTGAAAGCGAAGACCTGTGAATCTAGAAAAATTCTCACGCTTGATCTCTTTTTTCTCTAGTGAAAGATAAGGCAGAAATACTCCTACAGGTTGATGAATCACAAAGTATCAAAAATGAGTTGACCTTACAGGTAAGTAAGGATTTCTTAATGTAAAATGTCATGAGTATTTCAAAGACAAGATTTATTTAAAGTAATTAGGGAGGAAAAGGGGGGAAAAGGTCAAAGGAAGCTGAAACAAAAGGTTGCTTGAAGCAAAATAAGTGAAATTTCATCCTTACCTAGGCACTGTGTCTGAGCATCACATAAATTTCCAACTTGATATGCTGAGAGCTCTCTCTGGAAAGACAGCAGATTTCAACATGTCTGAAAGGATCTTGTCTTTTAATCGTCTCTTAAGCATATCATTCTGTGCCTTTGGTAGCCCAAAATGAGGATGCTCAAAAAGTAGAAGAAAATGCTTCTTTCCCTTTCTTACTTTCTAATCATAAGTTTGAAAATGCTAGTTTACCAGCATAACTGAGCTATGAATTATTTATGGATGGCAGTTAGAAAGGCACTGGAGTGGAGAAAATGTAGTGTTTTTAAGCTTATGTTTTTTGTAGTGTCTATTCTAAACTTCCTCAAACTTCTTAGCATAAAACACTGTTCATTTTTGAGAGTGATATAATATGGCTCATCTGCATTGCTTAACATTACATCAAAGTGCTCTACGAAGGGAACAGTACTGAATGTATGTAGAGTCTAAAGCACGAAAAAGCTTCTGACTTTTTCATACAACATTATAGAAGTAAACTAATAAATGTTGATGGGTAACTAAGTCATTATGGACTATCTTAATTTCTTTAAGTTCTTTCAGTTCATGCAAAGTCACAACATACTAGCAGAATTATTTCCACTTGATAAACTTGTAGATGTAAAACATATTTTGTAGATTAAGATCCTTTTTTTTTTTTTTTTTTAGGTAACTACACTTCATGCTGCATTAGAACAAGAACGATCCAAAGTGAAATTATTGCAGGCAGAATTAACAAAATATCAGGTATTCTTATTTTCTCTGGCAGTAAGTTTGCCTGTTCTTGATGTAGCTGAAACTATCTGAAAGTAACATGCTCCTAATTGACCTCTGAGTTCTGTATTTTTTTCAGGTTAAAAGAGAATATATAGCAG